CAAAGCAAGAATACGTAAGTGAGAATCGAAAACACGACACACGATTTACGTGGTTCACCAACACGATGTGTGTTAGCTACGTCCACGGGCGAGAGAGAGCCAGTTTCACTATATCAAGGAGATTACAGATTACAGAGGAGTATGAGAAGTATTTATAGTACTTCTCCATGTGGGTCTAAACCTAATCCAATCTGGCAAAGGAAATAGTTACAGACCATGCCCAGAACCCGAACCCAAATAACATTGAGCCCATACACGTAGCGGCTGATAATCCGATTCAAGTCATATCAACACTAAGTTTGTCCATCTCTTTTCTGATTCGATGTTTGCGATTGTACTTGTTTAATTACAGAGTTATCTTACAAACCCTTGTCAGAATGGGATGGAAGAACAAGCTGTGATCACATCTGGAACGAATGTATTTGAGATTGGAATTGACATTAAAACCATATTTTTAGACAAACTTGCATACTTCACCTAAAGAGGATACATACATATACGTAGATACACAAAATGAAGTTTTATTAAATAATTAATTTTTATTTAATCTTAAATCATATAGACAAAGTAAGTGGAATGATGAGTTGGAAAAATAATTTTTTTTAATTTCCACGTCATTTAGTTGACGGTCAAAGTTTATAGTTGACTGCCACGTAGGACAAATTTAGAAGAGTGTAACGGTCGGTGACTAACAGTAAAACGATTCGTAAAGTGAGTGGTTGATAGGAAAGAAAAATAATTCGGGTGGCAAACGTGAAAGATTTGTATAATTTGAGTGACCAAAAGTGTAATTTAATCCTTTATTTTATATTTGAATATTTGATTGATACTTCACGTATTAAACACATAGAAGGCATTTAATACATGCATTTTAAGTAATTAAAATAATTACTTATTAAATTTTATATTTTGTTTAATTATAAATTTCTAAAATTTAGTGGGGCTGCGGTAAAAGAACCCAAAAGCCAATTCATACCTGCCAATAAGGGTGGAAATTGGGGTGGGTGTGGTTACCCGCCCCATATTTTGTGAATACCCACACCCACAAATTTACAATTATGCTACCCACAACCCGCACCGTAGTGGTTAGTGGGTAACCACTACCCACTGTGGGTTTGTGCGGGTTGGGTGTGGTTACCCGCAAAAATCCATATTTGCAAGCATAGAGTTCTAGTCGCCACTAACGTATTTGTTGTTCGTAACTAGACTATAGTAATATACACTTGTGTTGTTCGTGGAGATACAATTTTGTACATCGATCTTACTCAACGTGGAGATTTTTTCTTTTTGAGTTTGGTATTCAACTTTTGTGTCAGAGAGCTGTGATTTCATATTTCCCTGACTAGGGGTAAAATATGAAAATTAAATATGATTTTGTATTTTTTCACACAAAAGCAAAAACATAATGATAAAAGTTACAAAAAGTGTTAACTTTTAATGAATTGATTATTCTCCACTCTATCGATTATAGTGTTTTATAAACTAAAAAATTCTTACATAAAACTGATTAGGTGTGTCTTCTTTATTTGGTGACTACTTTAATTTTTATCCTCGCACTTTTCACATACTATTATATTATATAGTTAATTCACTAAATAAATATAATTAGTGTGGTTATTATGGATTTTGTGAGTTAACCGCGGTGGGTAGTGGATAACCACCAAACCACAAAAATCGTTATTTTACTACCCACACACAACCCACTACCCACAACTTGTGGGTATGGTTATCCACAATAGGTGCGGGTTGGTGCGGTTTGCGGATTATCCACAACCCGCAACCCAAACTTCCACCCCTACCTGCCAATAGCTCATTAACCGAAATTGATATGTAGAAAGACTCATAAACCCTTCCTTGCATTGCGGAGAGGTCAGGAAAAACTAAATTGAGTGGGTTGTGAGTAGGGATGGCAATTACCCACCCATGGGTAATTTTACCCAAATCCAAATAAATCCATTTAGTATGTGTAGGGTTTGGATGAAGTGTATATGGGTTTGGGGGTTTGTAGATGAGTTTGGATTAGGTATGGATATTGCTTTCATAATGTAAATGGGTATGGGTTGGATATGGATATCCATTTACTTGAGGGTGTTTTAACTACACACACAAAAATTGGACCTATTTGTAAAACTTGAAAAGTTTAGGTACCAAAATGTAAGACCAAAAAAATTTAGGTACCAAAACGTAATTTTCCATCGATATTTTGAGGACTTATATGCAAAAAAAATTAAATTTAGGTACTAAATTTGCATATCTATTAAGTTTAGGTACCAAACTGTAATTTGTCTTTGGGCATGGGTACAAACCCAAATCCATGTGTTAAAAACCCAACCCAACCCAAGTAAATGGGTATGGGTACAAATCCATCAAACTCTACCCATCTACCATTTGTTTGGAATCCATACCCAACCCAATTGGGTTGGATAGTAAAATATCCATGGGTATGGGCAAAATTGCCATCCCTAGTTGTGAGCCGGAATCTCCTTATATATGTGTATTAATTATTAGACTTTTCTCTTTATTTTATATTTGATCGATACTTCACGTATTAAACACATAGAAGGCATTTAGTACATGCATTTTAAGTAATTAAAATAATTACTTATTAAATTTTATATTTTGTTTAATTATAAATTTCTAAAATTTAGTGGGGTTGCGGAGAAATAACCCAAAAACCAATTCAGACATGGCAATAGCTCATTAACCGAAATTGATATGTAGAAAGACTCATAAACCCTCCCTTGCATTGCGGGGAGGTCAGGAATAATTAAATTGAGTGGGTTGTGAGTCGGAATCTCCTTATATATGTGGAAAGGAAAGGATAGTGTATACTATGTAGAGAGTTCTGCATTAGTAGTGTGAGCTCTCTTGTTTCAAAATAGGCATAATATCAATAAAAGCTTCATAATTTACACTTTCTCTCAGTTGTATATTTTTTTTCAATTGTGTATCAATATTTTTTATATGACAATTGTGTCTAGATGGAAACCAGTATAGTATTGATATCTCGATATCACAAACCAAAATTTTGAATGTCGAATGATACTTTAAAATAAATCTTAGTCTTAATCTTAAAATAAATTTGGTATTACAATCTCTATCTCAAAATATTCAGTATCTCAATCCGTATTCTCGAATATGAAACTATTTATCTTTGCAATGAATAGTCAAATATATATATATAAATAAATAAATGTTACAACACCCCTAATCCCGAGCATTTTGTATATTATAAATCTATAGGTGGAATTTTGTGATTGGAAATTTTGGTAATGAGAATTTGAGGTGTGAAAAGTTTAATAAAAAAATCATCGAAGTCATCTTTGATTGGATTCTATCAAGTCTCCATTGAACTAGTTCATTATAGGTTCTATTTAGCGCCAAGAGACTAGGCAAAGGGTCTTGAGTTTGTCTAGAGCTAGGACATTAATAAGGAGAAGGGAGGAGATTGTGATATCTCAATTTCTTGTCATTGGTAATCTTCAATTCGATGGATTGGAGGTTGAGAGACGATTAATGAGAGTGTATACTTTTTGGTGTCATGAAAATAACAAGAGATAGAGTGAGAAATGAGAGTGACTTAGATTGGAAATCCAAATATGGGTTGGATGGGGGATTTTTGAGTTGTCAAAAAGTGAGGAAGAATGTGTGTTATATTTAATAAGTTTTTAATTTTAGATGTTTCTCGGTATTTTGGTATACATCAATCACGTAATACAAAATACCAAATAGCACCCCTAAATGAATATCAATCGCTAAAATAAAATCGATATTCGGTAATATCAAATGATGATAAATTCGGTATGATAATATGGTATATTCCAAATACTGGTATCAAACTTTCATCCCTAATTGTGTCATATGGTATAAAGGTCTAACGTCTTTTATGCCCCAAAATTTTTGTTTGCTATTAGATTTAATAGTTGACCAAATAGCGATCAAACTATGTTTAACTGGACATTGGTATCAATGTGTCTGCCACATAAGTGTCACGTTTATCGAGCTTTCTAGTTAAACCATGGATTAAACGGAGTTTGGGCACGATACTATACCCCAATTTCTAATGGGTGAACCTCAGTCCCTAATTCTCTAATTCGAATCATAAAATTTATTTAATCTAAAATAACAACGTATATGATTCATCAAAATATATTAAAGTGCATATAACAAGTGTGAACGTAGACGGATAGCGTACTCTAGCATTTGCTATATATATGTGTGTGTGGTGCCTTCTATCATACACCGGGTAAAAGTTCACCAAGTAAGAAAATTATATCTAAACCTCAAATTAAGAGGCTTTGGGCATGATACTATACGTAACACAACCCTTAATAAGTGAACTCTAGGTCCTAGTTATCCAAATCGTATACCCTAAACCCTAATATAATGCATGTAATTTGTTACATATATTACGATGAATCATAACCGTCGATTATTGTTCCTAATTAAATTGATACTATCGAATAAGATTTATACAAATAAAACCTAGATTTTAATCTTTAAAAATTAAAGTATAGTATCATGTCTCATATCAATCCAAAGTGTTGATATCATTTTCTTACTTGGTATATGCGGTGCTCCAAACTTTTACTCGGTGTACTCCAATTTATACAAATATCTTTTCATTTTCATGATCCATTTGCTTGGGAAAAAGGCACAAACCCTCTAGATTTGATGGACCAATTTCAGTCCAGAGTGCATTCCTTACTTGCCTTTCAATTTGGGCTTTTATTTCGAAAGCGTGAGCTCTGCCGCATGCCTCGAAATTGATCTGGGATGAAATAGATCCGAGCCCATTAAAGCAAAACCCAACCCAAAATTTGGTGGTCAGGTTACTTGAAATTCTAAAGCTCAGCCAACTGCAACAACATTTTTTGTCCCGTTAAATAACGTCATTCAGTTGAATCTAAAGTGTTAACCTTAGCTTCTTATAAATAAATAAAAGTGTTAACTTAGCATTAAATTCAACACCACAACTACTCATCAAATCTGTATTGGCGAGAAATTCATTGCTTTTATCGAAAAAATCTTAATCATTAGTCATTCCTCATTAATAAATAAATAAATAAAAAACATTCTAACTGCATATCTATCAAGGTTACTATTACCAGAACCAATAAGTGTTACTCGAAACTATAGGATAAAGTAGGTATAAAAAAACTATCGATTACAAGGATACACAGCTCATACAAACCAAAATTGGTGATTACAAGGATACACAAGTCGTACAAACCAAAATTGGTGTTAAGTAATCAAACTATGCAGTAACAGAAATCATACACAAATATCCTTATTGAATGCACTTACATACACAATTACCAATTTGCAATCCATTGGAGTTTGCTGAATGAAAGAGCGCATGCAGCAACGACCGCACCAGGAAACTGCAGTCCTAGACCGTGCAATAGAGACGGGAAGCAGCTGCCTGAGCTCGAAGAACACTTGTGACAGGCTGATCAAAGCTGCCAATCTGATCCTGTGCCGGTGGAACAACTCCTGATGGTACTGGCTGCTGCTGCTGCTGCAGCAGAGAGGAAACAACCGTCTGCTGCGATTGTTCAAGGATTCGCGACAGCGAAGGGAGCAGCTCTGCCTGGGAGCTACGATGGATGGGATATTGCAATGGCAGAGGGGGCAATCCAGGCCTGACGTTCAGCGCATCCATGACGTCCTTCATCGGAGGCCTGAGGGAAGGATCTGGGTGAGTGCAGTGAAGAGCTACTTGAACCAAAAGACGGACCTGTTCCTCCACAAACACACCATGTAGCTTAGGGTCGACAACAGCTTGAACATGACCTTCCCCATATAGACCCCAAGCCCACTCCACAATGTGACGACGCTGGGTTGAATTGTTGATGACATACGCGGGCTTCCCGCTAACGATTTGCAGAGCCACCACCCCAAAACTGAAGACGTCGGAGTGTTTCGTTGACTTCCCAGTCTCCAAAACCTCGTGAGCGAGGTACCCCTCGCTCCCGGAGATCAAGGACTGGGAGCGGTCGTCGTGTCCCACCACGCGAGCCAGTCCAAAATCAGATAGCTTGGCTCTCAAACGAGAATCCAGCAGAACATTAGCGGGCTTGATGTCCCTATGCAGCACACATTCTGTGCACCCTCCGTGCAAGTAGAGTAGCCCCGAACCCAAATCCTTGGCGATTCGGAATCTGATTTCCCATGTGAGCGGTTGCTGGCCAGGCCCATGTCTGCGTAGATGATCATCCAAGCTACCATTCTCCATGTATTCGTAGACCAAGTAGAGGTCACCCGACTCGTCGCATGACCATCCAAGTAGTTCAACCAAATTGTGGTGCCTCAACTGTGATATCACCGTTAACTCTGCCATGTACCCCTCCTTGTTGCCTCTAGCCGCCGTCACCTGGAACAGTTTCTTCACTGCAATGTCTCTACCGTCAAGTTCTCCCTTATATACTGCTCCGAACCCGCCTCTCCCCAACATCTCACTGAAATTGTTTGTTGCTCCACGAACCGCCTCTGGTGAGATGTATTTCGCTCCGGGATTGATCCTGTGTAGAAGCCGAGGTCCTCGCATGGTACTAACACTACCAGCACTAGTGATGTCTTGCTCTTGCCCCTGGCTACCACCACGCAAGGGAGCAATAAGCAATTCGCGCTTAGCCAAAGGACTTTGGTCCGCATTCCTCCTCCAACAGACACGCCTGCACACACAGAACCATACTGCTACAAGAGCAAGACCGGCCAGTAACATTCCGATCAACAGTCCCATTGTCAAGTGACCATTTTCGCCATCGCTTCTGTCTTTTCTTGCAGATGAACCAGTTGGCGTTGCTGTGACTAGATTGGAAGAGGAAAAGGACCAGGAACTGATGGTGTGAGACTGAGACCTCCAAGCGGTTGAGCTGGAGAAGCCGAAGACTACTTGTTCCGGCAAGTAATGCGTCAAATCAACTCCATAGCAAAGGGTATCGTCGAACTTGAACTGGCCACTATTATCCCTACTACTGAACCAGCTTGCGCACAGAGTATTGGCATCCTTATCGTATGAAATTCGTGCACGCATTCGACGAGTACCCTTGCCATTATAATGCCTCCTCCATCTCTTACTGGCAACAGACTGCAGAGAGTTGATATCAATTCCCACATGGCTGCTGCCGTTCCAAGCATCCCACTCGTTGTTGTAGGTGTCGAACTCAACCGCCACGAATGGATTTTCCGAGGCGGAGTCATAAGTGAGGTTAGCATATATAAGCCCCAACCCTCCGCTGGCTCCCCCGCCCACTGGGATGCTGTAGTTTTGCGGTGCCAGGAAGAATGCCAAGCCGTCACAGCACGAGGACTCGTCTTCGCTGATACTGCCATTGTTGTTACTGGCGATTTCGAAGATGAAAGTGGTAGTGAAATTGGCAACACTGCCCGTGGTGGCGTCCCAGAGGGGCATTGGTTTGGAGTATCTGGCCTGGCCGATCACGTAATATCCGAAGCCGGTCAGTTGAATCCCAGAATTCATACAAGATGCCTCTCCGTACAGCTTGATGGAGTCGCTGCATTGATCGAAGCTGCTGTAGCTGAAGGACAGTGCGTCCAGCCCAGCAGTGAGTGAGAGCATGATCAGGAAACCTGATAAAGCTACCATTGTAGCGATGATCATTGCTCTTTCAATAATCCTCCAGATCATAATAATCCCCTGTACCATTCATTCACAACGTAAACCATAGACTCAAAACCGAAGAACAATCCCTTAAAACAATAAACCGAAGAACAAGCATGGCAGAGTGAAGTAGAGAAGGAAGAATCACCAGCACATTATCATCCCCTGTTCCATTCATTCACAAGTAAGCCCTAGACTCAAAACCGAACAGTGAACAATCCCTTAAACAAAAAACCCCGGCAGAGTAAACTAGAGAAGGAAGAATCACCAGCACATCATAATCCCCTGTATCATTCATTCGCAAGTAAACCCTGGATTCAAAACCAAAGAACAATTCCTTAAAAAAAGCCTCCGAAGAACAAGCATGACAGAGTAATCCCCTGCACCATTCATTCGCAAGTAAACCCTGGACTCAAAACCAAAGAACAATCCCTTCAAAAAAAAAAAAAAAAAAAAAAACCCCGAAGAGCAAGCTGGGCGGAGTAAAATAGAGAAGGAAGAATCAGCAGCACATTACCATCCCCTGCATCATTCATTCACCAAGTGAACCCTAGACTGAAAAGGGAAGAATCAGGAGCAAGCTAGAAGAAGGGCGAATTACCAGCAAAATCAGGCGGTGCACCATGCTAAGGATGATTGTTGAGGGACGATGGGGAGTTGCAGGTTCCCAGCTCTCTGAATCTCCCAACCAGCGAGTTTATTACAAAATGCGGCGGCTTTCTTCGCAGCTTAAGGGATATGTAGATTTCTTAACTTTTGATCGAAATCCAGAGATGGGTTGGGTTGGTGTGTTTTTTCGTTTATATAGCACCGCCAGCTGCAGAATCTTCTGCTACGTAGGAAGGATGACGCCCTGTTCTCACACTGAGTAGGGCCATCAAATTTGAATATTGGCAATGAAGAAAAGTTGGGCAACCTGTGTAAAATTGCATGGGTGGTCACGGAAACTTTTTACGTTTTTACGTTTGGTTACAAAAAATATATTATTTCATTTATAGTCATTAATTTTAGGGTAAATACAATTTAATATCCAAACCTTTTATTTTAAACAATATAATAGCCAAACCTTTTCGAAAACAATCTAATATCCAAATCGTCAAACTTTCTGTCTGTTTGACCGTTAGTTGACACTTCAAAAAAGTTCGAAGTACGACACTTCATCAATATCCATCGATATCTTCTCTGAAAAACCACCAACATATCGTAGTTCCAAACCCGAGAAGTCCATGACTCCACCATGATGGTATAAGATATCTAAATATTCAGTCATCTGCAATGCCAAAACAAGAAACAAAGTTGTATTGTGACAATTTTTCCTAAACAGAGCTTTTTTGAAGTGTCAACTAACGGTCAAACGAACGGAAAGTTGACAATTTGGATATTAGATTGTTTTCGAAAAGGTTTGGCTATTATATTGTTTAAAATGAAAGGTTTGGATATTAAATTTTATTTACCCTTAATTTTATATTCTCATTCATCTATGGTCACTCTCTTCCTTTAATTTTAGCTTACATGAGGAATTCTCATAATTAACTTTTAAATATGTGACATGACAATTAAAAATTTAATTTTTTAATATGCTAAAATATTCACCTCCAAATCTCTCATTCCCCTTCAAACAACCATTTCACTCACATCCTTCGACCACCACCTCCGTCATCACACCCTGCGCCTCACCACCATCGTTGTCTCCTCCTCTACCCTCCGCTACTACAACAATCCCAACGAAAACATCCCCAAATCCCCCTCCTTCTGCCGCCGCCATCGTCGACACCACAACCACCTCCACCGCCCCCTTCACCTCCTGCTTTGTCGTCGACCAGGCTAGAAAGAGCGCTAACATCCTAATCGAAGCCCTAGAGCACGAAGGACTCGTCCACATATTCGCTTAACCTTTTCCCCATTATTGAAGGCACCCATCCATTTCTCTTGATACCGTTTTCATTGCCTTCTCATGGTCACCGATATCCATCCATCGGTGACAATTTTGTAAAAAGATTGATTTTGGAGAGGAAAGCTCAGCAGAAAACTGAGTCATCTATCTATAGCTTTTATAGCTACAATGATCATTAACAAACTGATCCACGTGTCCTTACATGATAGGCTATTAATTTAAATAAACAGTGAAAATTAATGACTAAGTAAATAAAATAAACGTTGTCATTTCTCCTTTCATTCTTCAGGCAGTTTTCTTCTTCTACAAAATGTTGTCGTGCTTCCAATCCATGATGCATCAGGATTGTATCTTCCTGCAGCTCAAATCTGTCATCCCCCTTCAAGTTGGTGGTGCTCCTATAATCCCCAACTTGTCAAGAATCTCTCTCATTCTGAATCGATCCAATCTCTTAGTGAAGATGTTTACTAACTGATCAGCTGTGCCAACATGCTTCAACTTGATCAACCCAGTTTTAATTCTTTCCCTTGTAACCTGCATATCGATCGTTATATGGTTTGTTCTTTCATAAAAAACAAGGTTCTCTGGTAAATAGATAGCTAACCTGTCGTCACAATACACAAGTATAGTCAAGGGAATTTGAACTGTCAGTTCTGAAAGGAGTCTTTTTAACCATTCAATTTCACATACCAAGTGCGCGAGAGCTCTACACTCTACTTCAAAAGTTGATCTCGACACTGTGGTTTGCTTCTTTATTTTCCAAGTAAAGAGTGATGACCCAAGGAAGGTGCAATAGCTTGTGATGGATCGATGTGTGTCTGAACAACTAGCACAGTCTGAATCACTATACTCTGTCACCTTTGCTTCTACTACACTTCCAAAGTGAATCTCCTGATCTGGTGCAGACTTGAGATACATTAAAACCTTGTAAGCAACCTGCATATGTTCATTACAAGAGTTTTTCTGGTACTAACACAATTGTTGTATTGCAAACACTATTTTGGTCTTGTTATGGTAATATAGTGAAGCCTACCAACCAGTCTTCTATAAACTTCCCCATCTTTCATTAATGTTCCTTTGGAACTCAGTTTAACCTTAGCATCAACTGGAGTTTTGCATTCCTTAGATTCCAGATAGTATGTATCCTTTTTAATAGGTCAACATAATACTTCCTTTGGCAGACATTCAGACCATTTTGATCCGTGCTTACCTCCAGACCAAGGAAGTACTTAAGTGGTCCCAGAAGCTTTACCTTGAATTCCTTTCTCAATGCAATCTTAATATGATCTACATCCTTTTGTGCATCACCACCAATAATTATGTCTTCCAAATAGACTAGTAAGACTGTAATTCTTCCATGTCTCCACTTGTTGAACAATGAGTAGTCAGATGCTGACTGTGAAAATCCAACCTTCAACCAGAAATTGGTCAGTTTAGCAAACCACGGTCTGGAAGCCTGTTTCAAACCATAAAGAGATTTCTTAAGCCTTCAAGTCATCTTCTGATTTTACACTGATTGCACCTTTAGTCCCAGAGGTTTTTTTAACGTACACTACCACTTTTAGATCCCCATGTAAAAAGGCATTTGACACATCCAGTTGTTCCATTCTCCAGTTCTTCATGCTTGAAATAGCTATAAAAGTTTTGAATGTATATATCTTAGCAATTGGTGAGTATGTATCCAAAAAATCTATGTCATACACTTGAGTATAACCCTTAGCTAGTAATATGGCTTTCTCCCTTTCCAATGATCCTTTAGGCTTATACTTGTACTTAAATACTCATTTATTTCCTATTTCCTTCACATTTGGTGGTAAAGGAACCACATCCCAGGTTTGGTTCTCTTCTAGTGCATGCAATTCTGAATTCACTGCCCTATTCCAAGCATATGATTTGATTGCATCATAGTATGACTTAGGTTCCTCATGATTCACAACACTCAAGGCAAAAGTTTTTTCCACAAGACTTAATTCATCCACATTCAGGTAAATGGGGTACTTACTACATGAATTAGACTTACCATATGGTCCAAATGTGATAGATGGATCCAAATGGTAGTCACTGTACTAACTTGGAAGTGTGGCAATTCTCTTTGGCCTTTCCTCATTCTGCAAAACCTAACTATCATGATCAACATCAACTTGTGGAAGAAGTTCTTGTTCATCTGAATCAAAATATTGATCATGATCTTTGAGTGAAGATTTATCGAGATTATGAATCTCAATCTCAATATGATCTCTCCTTAGTTTGATTCATCTGTGGATGAATCAAACTAAGGAGAGTGTTGATGTGTAGAGAATGGGACATGAAGAGCAGGAGTTGGTGTGGCATCTGGATTGACAAAAGACACATGACTGGGAGAAGAAGGAAGAGATTGGTCAGGAGAATGAAAGGGCAAGATTGTCTCATAGAAAACCACATCTCTGGAGATGAAATTCTTCTTATCATGCATGTCCAACACCTTGTAACCCTTAACACCTGCTGGGAAACCTAAGAAGACACATTGCCTGGCTCTATGAGCAAATTTGGTCCTTCCATGGAATAGAGTGTTGGCATATCAGAGGAAACCAAAAACTTTTGGATGATTTAAGGTATGGGACTCATTGTAAAGAACTTCAAAATGTGATTTGTTTGTAAAATTAGGGTAGGGATTCTGCTGATAAGATAAACAGCATGTTACACACAATCAATCTAGTACTATAGGGGTAACCCAGATTGAAATTTAAGAGCACTGACTACATTAATGATGTGTTGGTGTTTTCTTTTCACCCTCCCATTCTGTTCTAGTGTCTCCACACATGATACTTGGTGTTCAATAACCTGGTTGGAAAAATATTCACACATTTTAAACTCCTTGCCCTGATCATTTCTAATGATCTTAACAGTGGTGCCAAGTTGGTTCTTAACAAGATTGCAGAATCCTTGTTTAATCACCTTACTTTACTCTTATGTATCATTAAGTAAACCCACACCATTCGAGAAAAGTCATCCACAACAATAGGGAGATAACAGTAAGCATCATAAGATACAACTAAAAGAGGTCCCCAAATATCCATATATAGGAAAGGGACTGTTACCTTCAATTGCTTAAAGGTATCCTTCCACGGAGCACATTCATGATAGAGATCACTTTCAAACAACCGTTTAGGATAAGGAACTTTCAGTTTTGGCTCGGATACTTGAGTCTTCTTAGATTTCTCTTCGTCTTCGATCTTGATTGCACTGGAAGGTTGAACTTCCTCCCGAACTATCTCTTCTTCTTGAACGACTTCACATTGAAATTCTCTTACCGGGATCTTCGGAGTTGAGATTGGAATCTCCTTCAATGGTCGGTCACTCCTTAGAGTCACCGCATGACAACTGATAAGCCATTAATTGCACATGTTTTTACCCCTATTCTGGAACCGTTTGAGGTGTTGATTCTCGTGTTTTAGGACGATTTCACGCTAGGTTGTGTTTGTTTGTGATATTTCAGGTCCTAGCAAGTGAATGAAGGTTTAGGAGCGAGTTCTAGGTCGATTGGACGAAGATCGGGCGTGAGGCAAGTCAAAAAGAAAGCCACACGGGCACACCCACAACTCACACGGCCGTGCAAGTGACCTATTTGGCCGTGTGGGATTGTGCGAGCCTTCACACGGCTTGCCCTGAAATCCACACGGCCGTGTGAAGGAGTGGTTTGGCCGTGTGGAATTATGCGAGGCTTCACACGGCCAGGCAGGGTGATCCACACGGCCGTGCGACCCTGGCCGTGTAGGAAGCCTGAAGTGCAACTAATCGGGACGCAGCGTTTTGAAGTCACACGAGCAACTGGGTATGCCACACGGCCGTGTGGCCCTGCCCGTGTGAGTCGCGAATTCCTGGTTTTAGCCCAATTTCGGGCTACAAGAGAGAGAATTGGACTTTTTGAGCAAAAACAGAGCCCTAGAGAGAGAAAGGACGAAGAACACATCCTAGAAGCTATCTTGGAGCTGGGTTTCATCAAATCGAGCTTGGAGATCTTCATAGAAGTGGAAATCATCATCCCAGAGCAGATTCTTCCCATTGTAATGAGTATGACTGCTTTGTACCTTGTTTTCCTCTCTCTCTCTCTATGGAGTAGAACCCTTCTCTCACTTGGGGCTGAAGAACCCTAGTTCTATGTGTTAGGGATTTGATTGTAATGACTTGGGATGATATTACTGCTTGGTCTTAATCGAATGATGCATGTTTATTGAGTCAATTGAAGTCTGATCAACTTTTCCTGATTCCTGCTGCAATCTGAGATAGATAGAATCTGATTAGGTTGCTAGAGTCTCATCATTCGGTAGTAGGAGATTGGCTATACGAGAGTTAGCCAGTTTACTTCTTTGTACTGGAATCCAATTCCAGTAATGGAGTTTTGTTCTTACTGCTTCAGCTTTCTATCCCGGTGAAGACTAGTCGTCTGCCGGGTAGTTAGACTGAGAGGGCTTGGTCAGCTTAAGAGATTCCAAGCTACTGTCGGATCTTCCGCAATCTAATCAACAATAAATCAACCCAGGGAAATACAATTGAAACCTAACTAAGGAGATAGGGGGACTCATTCTCGAGTGACTCTTACCTGCTTGAGAAAACCGTACCAATTCCTGCTTTCTTTCTGCTTTTGCTTTAAAACAACAAACACTTAACTTAGTTGGCTAGATAATAGATAATCACTGAGTAAGCAGTAGATCTAGACCCCGGGTTGATAATATAACTTGCCACTTTACTGCATTCCCGGTCTGCGATTGCACTTGGTCGCAGATTGGTGTTGTGTTTTGGCGTACCAACAACCTTCCTTTGGATTAGCCACAGTATTACCCGATAGGGTTCCTTGAATTCTCAATGATAGAGTTTGAGCCAACGAGCTTAGTTGGGCTTCAAAATTTTGAAGTGGAGCTTGTTGATTCGTTTTCCCCACTCTACCCGCCCAGACAGGGGCCAGTTCCACCTCAGTCACAGGTGCGAGCGACCATTTCAGCAGATAGGGGCAGCACCTGCAGCCCCAGCTCAGAGTGACCCGATGGCGGAACTGTGAGATCTGGTGGGTTCTCTGGCCACCTCCAGTGCAAACAAGTTCAACAACATCGAGCAGTTCATGGAGAAAGCTTCAGGCAAATTCATGGAGCTAGAAGCTGGTCAGAGAAACACGCAGGCTGTTCTTCGGGATATCCAGACCCAGCTTGGGAGTGTTGCCCAGGCTGTAGCTAAGAGGCCTCCTGGTACTCTACCCGGTCAGACCATCCCTCACCCGCAGAACCCGAATGAGCACTGCGGGGCCATTACTACCAGGAGTGGCAAGGTGACTGCCGATCCACCTGTTCGGGCAGAAGAGAGAGAGACCCCTGCTTCAGCACTTCCAGCTAATGAAGATGAAATGGAGAAGGAGGTTGAGGTGCCTGCTCCTAAACCGCAACCAGTGGTGAAGGAGTATGTACCCCAGCTCCCCTTTCCTACTCGGTTGCACAAGGACCGACTGGATACTGAGTTTGCCAAGTTCATGGCAATGCTGAAGCAGGTGAATATAAGCATGCCCTTTGTGGAGGCATTATCGAAGATGCCCAAGTATGCCAAGTTCATGAAAGATCTCCTCACCAACAAGAGGAAGCTTGGGGAGCTGTCAACGGTGATGCTCAACGAGGAGTGTTCTGCCATCCTGCAGAACAAACTACCAGAGAAGCGAAAAGACCCAGGGAGTTTCACTATCCCTTGCATGATTGGTAGTTTGCATATAGGGAAGTCCTTGGTGGATTTAGGCGCTAGCATTAATGTCAGGCCATATAAACTGGTTAAAAAGCTAGGCCTAGGTGAACCCAGTGATACTAGGATGAGCATTCAACTTGCTGATAGATCCATTGTGCATCCTAGGGGCATTGCAGAGGACTTGATAGTCGCAGTAGGGCCATTCTCTTATCCTGTTGATTTTGTGATTTTGGACATAAATGAGGATGTGGATGTGCCATTGATATTGGGTAGACCTTTTCTCGCCACCGCCAAGGCGCTCATTGATGTGAATGATGGAAAACTGATTTTGCGAGCTGGGGGTGAACAAATCACCTTCTCTGTTTCTGATAATATGAAACACCCCCAGCTCCATGATGATCTAGATTACTGTGATGTTGTTGCTGATTTTGAGACCGCACTCCCCATCACGAGTGCGGGTACTGATGATTTCCTTGAGCATTGTCTTTTGCTAGGGGAACAGGCATCACAGGACATGCAGTTGGAGGAGCAGCTCGCGGAGCTAGACGAGGCCATGATCGAGGGGTGAGAGATACCATTCAAGCCGATCCCTATCTCGCCCCGGATCGCTAAATCATTGGAGGAGCCACCAGAGTTGGAGGTTAAGCCCCTCCCCTCTCACCTGGAGTATGCATTTCTCCGGGAGGGGAATAAGCTCCCGGTCATTATTAGCTCGGATCTGACGCCCGAGCAGAAGAGCAGGCTGGTGGCTTTGCTGCAGAAGTATGCCCGGGCCATGGCATGGAAGATCACAGACATCAAAGGCATTAGCCCATCCTTTTGCTCCCACAGAATCCTGATGGAGGATGAGGTTAAGCCAGTCAGGCAACCGCAGAGGAGATTGTCTCCTAACTTGGAGGCAGTGGTCCGGGCAGAGATTGTGAAGCTCATGGATGCAGGGATCATCTTTGCTATATCTGATAGCAAGTGGGTCAGCCCCACTCAGGTGGTCCCGAAGAAAGGCGGGATGACTGTGGTCCCAAATGAGAAGAAAGAGCTGATCCCGATGCGGACCGTGACCGGCTGGAGAGTCTGCATCGATTACCGGCGCCTGAACGACGCCACCAGGAAAGATCATTTTCCCCTACCTTTCATTGATCAGATGCTGGAGAGATTGGCTGGGCATTAGTTTTATTGCTTCCTGGATGGCATGTCTGGTTATTTCTAGATTCCTATTGCACCAGAGGATCAGGCAAAGACCACATTCACTTGCCCCTTCGGCACTTTTGCTTACCGGAGGATTCCATTCGGGCTGTGTAATGCACCGGCGACCTTCCAGAGATGCATGATGGCGATCTTCGACAGACTGGTCGGGGAGATCATGGAAGTCTTCATGGATGACTTCTCGGTTTATGGAGACTCCTTCTCTCATTGTCTCCATAACCTGGAACTCGTTCTGAAGAGGTGTGAAGAGACGAATCTGGCACTCAGCTGGGAGAAGTGCTATTTTATGGTCCGTGAGGGGATTGTGCTCGGGCACAAGATCTCCAAGTAGGGGATTGAGGTGGATCGCGCGAAGATTGAGACGATCAGTAAGCTACCTCTTCCCGTTTCTGTGGAGGGGATTCGCAGCTTTCTGGGTCATGCAGGCTTCTACCGGCGCTTCATTAAAGATTTCTCGAAGATTGCCCTGCCTTTGACCAAGCTGCTGGAGAAGGATGCACCATTCCAGTTCACTCCCGAGTGCATAGCTGCATTTGAGACTCTGAAGGAGAAACTGACCCATGCCCCTATCATGGTAACTCCTGACTGGTCTCTCCCTTTTGAGCTGATGTGCGATGCGAGTGACTATGCAGTCAGAGCAGTTCTGGGTCAGAGACGCGAGAAGCACTTCCAGCCCATCTACTACGCGTCGAAGACCTTGAACGATGCATAGGAGAACTACACCACCACTGAGAAGGAGCTCCTCGCCGTGGTGTATGCATTTGACAAGTTCCGGCCATATCTGGTGCTCTCCCATGTGGTGGTCTACACAGATCACTCGGCGATTCGCTACTTGATGAGCAAGGCTGATGCAAAGCCTCGGCTCATCCGATGGATCCTGCTTCTGCAGGAATTCGACATAGAAATCCGGGATAAGAAAGGAGCCGGGAATGTTGCTGCAGATCATCTTTCACGATTGGAAGCCCCTCCGGTGGACAACTTCGTGGAAGAGATCGATGACTCCTTTCCGGGTGAGCGATTGCTGGCGATGACACTGGTGGACAGCGTGGCCCCTTGGTATTCTGACTTTGCCAGTTATCTGGTGGGTAAGCAGTTACCCAAGGGGATGGCTACTCATGCAAAGGGCAAGTTCTTCTCCGATCTGAAGCATTACTTCTGGGAGGATCCTTACCTCTTCAGAATCAGAGCAGACGGCGTGATCCGGCGCTGTGTCATGGAGCACGAGATGGGAGACATCCTGTCTCAATGCCACGAGGGACCTACTGGAGGTCACCATGGAGGTAACCGCACGACGCGGAAGGTGCTACAGTCGGGCTTCTATTGGCCCTCCCTCTACAAGGATGCAGACTCCTTCGCATGCCAGTGCGACCGCTGCCAAAGGTCAGGTAACATTTCTTCCCGGGATGAGATGCCCCAACATATCTCTGTTATTTGTGAAATTTTTGATGTTTGGGGTATCGATTTCATGGGCCCATTCCCTTCATCTTTTGGCAATCTGTACATATTGGTTGCAGTAGACTACGTCTCGAGGTGGGCAGAAGCTCAAGCCATGCCCACCAATGATGCAAGACGGGTCTGCTCATTTCTGAAGCAGCTGTTCTCCCGGTTCGGGACACCCCGCGCCATCATTAGTGATAGAGGAACCCATTTTCAAGGGCAATTCACTAAACTCCTCTCTCGCTATGGTGTTAAGCATCAGGTGTCTGTGGCCTACCATCCCCAGTCAAATGGGCAGGCCGAGCTGACGAACCGGGAGCTAAAACGAATAATTGAAAAGACGGTGGATCAGTCCCGCAAGGATTGGTCCACCAAGCTCGATGGTGCTCTTTGGGCGTATAGGACTGCCTATAAATATCCGATTGGCACTTCTCCCTATAGGCTTGTCTATGGGAAGGCGTGCCATTTGCCGGTAGAGCTAGAGCACAAGGCCTTCTGGGCCATTAAGCTGCTAAACCTTGATTTGAGTGTTGCAGGTACAGAACGTAAGTTGCAGCTGCTGGAGTTGGAGGAGTGGCGTTACCATGCCTACGAGAACACACTGCTCTACAAGGAGCGCACCAAGCGTCTCCACGACGCTTGGTTGAGGGGCCCAAAAGAGTTTCAGGTAGGTGATCGTGTTCTGCTCTTCAATGCACGCCTGAAACTCTTCCCGGGTAAGCTCCGTTCGAGGTGGTCGGGACCCTTCACGGTCACCCAAGTTTTCCCGCACGGTGCTGTGGAGATCAGAAATGCTCAAACTGAGCCATTCAAGGTGAATGGCCACCTCCTAAAGTTGTATTTGGGAGGTGCTGTTGACCGCGCAGAGCTGCTGATCAAGCTCGAGGACCCTTAGTTCCTCTACTGGCGTCCAGCTAAAAGACGGTAAAGAAGCGCTTGTGGGGAGGCAACCCCACCTAGGTTTGCATTTTCTTACCTTTTTCCTTTTGATTTTTTGTGTTTTTTTTAGTCTTGAGGGGTTGTTCACGAGTTTTATGTCGTTCTGGAGTGAAAACAGGTCAATTTCGAAGTTCTGGCAGCTCACACGGCCAGCCCTGAATGTCACATGGCCGTGTGGAAAATATGTTTGGCCGTGTGAGCTCTCGCAGAATTCCACACGGCCAGCTGTGTCAGTGACACGGCCGTGTGGAAATACCACCCAGGCCGTGTGAGCTCTCGCACATTTTGGCACGGCCAAATGTGCACTCGGCACGGCCGAGTGAAAATTCCTCGGCCAGCCCGTGTCGGCCGACACGGGCAAAAGTGCTCCTGGCACGGCCGTGTGAGCCAGGACGTGTGGCCGAGACTCGGCCTACAAATTCGGCCGACACGGCCGAGTCGTCAGAAAATTCAAATTCACTCGCCGGAAACCTCTCCCCTTCGCCGGAAAACCGCGACTTTTCACCCTCCTTGTCGATTTTCGGTCATTTTTGGTCGGTTTTTCACAAATCCAACACCACACCCATCCTTTCCTCCCCATTATCGGCCTATCCCTCGATTTTGAGGTGATTTGGCTTGATTTTGAGTCGCCGGAGGCGATTTCTGGCGAGACTCCGGCGAGGCTCCGACGATCACTTCCGGGAAGTTTTTCGGCATTTCGTCGCTTCCATTGCATTCCCCTCATCATCCCCTACATCTCTACTTGAGTCTCCAGGTTTGATTTTGACCTTAACTATGTTTTTCATGGAGAATTGGGTGTTAGGGTGCATGTTTAGAGAACGTCTTTGAATCGTGAGAATTTTGTGCAATTGATTGAGGGGAATGCTTGGATTATGTATGAATTGTGTTGGGCATTGTCCCCCTTGCTTGATTGAGGCCTTGTGTGCAAGAATTTTGCCAATTCCATGTTTACCTTAATAGTGCACACAAGGTGTTCGATGAAATGCCTATTTTCGTACCATTTTGTGGGGGTCGGTTGGGGCCCTTAATGATGTGCTTTGGGGGTGTGTTTGGTATGGATGTGAACTTTGAGTTGCCTACTTGTTCATGGATGTGCAACCCCACTCCGATTATGCTTGATTTATCGAGTTTTTGACCCCCGAACTATGGATGAAACCATGGTTAGGCTGTTTTCTGTTCTTAAGTGTGGGGGTGTGATTAACATTTTCCTTGGCTCTTTTGGTTCCACTTTGGGCTGTTCTTTTGCAGGACCATGTCGAAGCCCAACCTCCGGCACCAGTTTGTTCAAGATTTGAGAAGGGGGCCCCACCAGGAGCGGTTTAAGAACGTCCTGGCCTGCAAGTTTGGGCAGCATCATTACTGGTCCAAGCGAGAGTTGGAGAAGCTGAACTGCTACGAGCACCTCTCCCCCGTTGTCACCAACCGCTACTGGCGCCGCCTACTCAGCATTCGCGAGAAGGTGTACCATGAGCTCGTGCTCGAGTTCTACACTACCTTCGAGCACGCAGCCAGAACTATTGGAAGGACGAAGAAGCCGTCCAGTTCCGGCTCGGCGGTGTACCACGATCCTTGAGCTACGACGAGCTGGCGAACGCCCTCGGCCTCAACCTGGTCAATGACAGGGACTACCTCACCGAGAGCGCCGAGCCAGCGGGGGTGGACTTCGGGAGGCTGTACTTCAGCCTCGCTCGGCCACGTCAGCTTCCCTACAAGGCGGGGAAGACGAAGGCCAGCACATTGCAGCTCGACAACCGCATCCTCCATCACATGCTGGCCAAGTCTTACACCCCAGCCTCAGACAGTGCCAGCGCCATCACCAAGAGATCCCTGTACTTCATCTAATCCATGCGCCAGAGGGATCATCCCCTCCACTTGGGCTCGGTGGTGGCGAGGACCTTCGAGAAGAGTGCTTCTGAGCTGAAGAAACTTCACTGCACCCCCCTCATCACCCGCCTGGCAGACTACTTCCAGATATCCCTGTAGGAGTGCACAGAGCAGGGAGAGACCACTCCCTTTGGCCGGTTTACGATCAACAAAATGCACCTGCTTCGAGAAGAGCGAGGTGTCATGTGGATCGAGGGGTTTCCTCAACCTCAGATCCCAGCGGCGGTCCAGCCGGAGGCTCCCGAGGGTGCAGCTGATGAGGAGGTACATCCGGAGGATGTGGATGATACTGCTGCTGCCCGCCCCACCACCTTCGAGTACGGGGGTGGCAGTTCCAGCTTCCCCGGCCAGGACTACTTCTCTCAGCAGTTCGAGCAGCTGCGTCTCCAGAATCAGCAGCTCTACGATTGTCAGATGCAGTTTCAGCAGCAGTATTCGGCTCACCATGCCGAGTACCAGCACAGGATGGCTGCGTATGATGAGCGCCTTGGTAGGCTGGAGACCCAGCAGAGCATCCAGTCTGGAGGACTCCCTGGGAGGACTCCCCACTTCCACCTCCACCTGCTGATGACGATGATGCATTCATGAATGACATCGATCTGAACAACCTCGGCGACGAGTACGTTGTACTTGTCGCCCCCCTCAGTGTGTGTTTTTATTTTTGTTTGAGACTTTTTTCTGTTTGCTCAATGTGTTGAGGAGCTTGAACTTAGTTTGTCGTGTGTTTTGTTTCTTTTCTTTTGTGGATTGTTTCTTTTGTGGCCATCTGGGCCTACTCTGATCCCTAACGAACATGTGCTAGTGTGTTCTTGATGTTCCCTTAGTGCAGAACTGTCCGTTCGTTCCATATGTCTCACGTTGACTGGTCCGCTTCCAGTCCCCCGCAACATTTCGATCCGGTAACATCGTTCCCCTTCTCTATCCCTCTTCTCCATTGAGGGCAATGTCGTGCTTAAGTGTGTGTGTGTGGGGGGGGGGGGGGTGCTTTGTATCGGTTGGAATGTATATACGTGTGCTTGGAGCCTAGTCCACTGTCCAAATCTCGAGATTTGAGGGCTCCAAGTACGGCTGTTTGATCATATTGGCACTGTGTTTTGATTGGTGAATTGAATGGTTTTTGGATTGATGCATGACAACTGGATAGTGACTAGGACAACCTATAATGATGACTGAGACGTGTAGTAGAATTGTGTAGGGGTTCAGTTTTTTTCAACTGTTTGCTTACCAACTGTGACTTGGATTGATTACTTGTTCTTGACAGTCTCTTATGCATCTAGTTCAGGGAATCAGAATGAGAGATAGAGCATATAGGTAGCCATGTGAGATTTGAGCCTGCTCGTTTCTTTCTTGTGCGATAGTTCCCTCTTCCATGATGTGTAGCATTCACGTTGTCATTAGCTAAGATGATGGAGGCATATGATTAGCCCACGACCAAATTGACTGTCCTGGTGTGTCATACCCCCTAGTCAGCCCCTTTGAGCCGTGTGATTATCCTTTCTTTCGGTCTTCAATGAAAAGTCACCCTTTTGCATCTTTTAGAAGGTTCCATAGAGTGATTTTTACATGTTCTCTGCTGTTTCTGCTGAATGTAATGTGAGAGTTGGAGGTAGTTCTTAAAAAGTTGGGCAAGTGTTTGTAAATGTGCAGAGGTGGTGGTTCTCTTAAGAAATGAAAAAAAAAAAAATGTTAGAAAAACAAAGAAAAACTGAAAGCAAAAGAGAGCTACCACCAAAAATCTGAATAGTGCCCATTAAGTAGTGTTTCTTAGCAGTCTGGCTTAGAAACACTGGTATTTATGTGACCTCCTTCGCTCTTGTGCTCTGAATTTGAGTAATGCAGAATAGCAGAAAGAAAGTACTGGTTTGATTGACTGTGATTTTGTTGGGTTTGGAATTGTGGAACCTTGTGCTATGAATACTTCCACCACCTAAAAGGCCTTTTCCCCATGTCCAAGACCCTAGCCACTCATTTGAACCTGTGTCTAAGACCTCCTGATTAGTTAGTGATGACAACCATTTATGTGAACTCTAACCTTTAGAGGCTGCCGTCATGGTGAAGAGATGTTAGGGATTGAGAGAATTAGTATGCGTATTTTTCGCATCAAATTTTCCTGATCCCACTGGTCGAGAGTGAGCGATTCATTTCCTTGTTCTTTACACTCTTTACCCGGTGAGGACCTAGATTGCTCGGTCTCTATTCTGATATCTTGAGTTTTGTGCATGAGTTGACTGTCTTGAGTAAGTGGTTGAGTCAAGTCTAGGTTGGTTAATGAACAGAAGGGAGACTCCTCATTTATTCGATTTTGCTGCACTCGAATGTCATTTGTGGTGGTTGTCCAGGTTGCTATTAAGGTTGTTCATGTGTTGGTGTTTGAAAACCAGTATGATTCACGTGTTCTGTGCCTATATGACTTGTCCCCAATGTTGGTATGATTGAAATATGTGAGCTTACCTTGTGTCTGACTTGGTTTGCTTGGGGACAAGCAAACGGTTAAGTGTGGGGGAGTTTGATAAGCCGTTAATTGCACATGTTTTTACCCCTATTCTGGAACCGTTTGAGGTGTTGATTCTCGTGTTTTAGGCCGATTTCACGCTAGGTTGTGTTTGTTTGTGATATTTCAGGTCCTAGCAAGTGAATGAAGGTTTAGGAGCGAGTTCGGGGTCGATTGGACGAAGATCGGGCGTGAGGCAAGTCAAAAAGGAAGCCACACGGGCACACCCACAACTCACACGGCCGTGCAAGTGACCTATTTGGCCGTGTGGGATTGTGCGAGCCTTCACACGGCTTGCCTTGAAATCCACACGGCCGTGTGAAGGAGTGGTTTGGCCGTGTGGAATTATGCGAGGCTTCACACGGCCAGGCAGGGTGATCCACACGGCCGTGCGACCCTGGCCGTGTAGGAAGCCTGAAGTGCAACTAATCGGGACGCAGCGTTTTGAAGTCACACGAGCAACTGGGTATGCCACACGGCCGTGTGGCCCTGCCCGTATGAGTCGCGAATTCCTGGTTTTAGCCCAATTTCGGGCTACAAGAGAGAGAATCGGACTTTTTGAGCAAAAACAGAGCCCTAGAGAGAGAAAGGATGAAGAACACATCCTAGAAGCTATCTTGGAGCTGGGTTTCATCAAATCGAGCTTGGAGATCGTCATAGGAGTGGAAATCATCATCCTAGAGCAGATTCTTCCCATTGTAATGAGTATGACTGCTTTGTACCTTGTTTTCCTCTCTCTCTCTATGGAGTAGAACCCTTCTCTCACTTGGGGATGAAGAACCCTAGTTCTATGTGTTAGGGATTTGATTGTAATGACTTGGGATGATATTACTGCTTGGTCTTAATCGAATGATGCATGTTTATTGAGTCAATTGAAGTCTGATCAACTTTTCCTGATTCCTGCTGCAATCTGAGATAGATAAAATATGATTAGGTTGCTAGAGTCTCATCATTCGGTAGTAGGAGATTGGCTATACGAGAGTTAGCCAGTTTACTGCTTTGTACTGGAATCCAATTCCAGTAGTGGAGTTCTTTTCTTACTGCTTCAGCTTTCTATCCCGGTGAAGACTAGTCGTCTGCCGGGTAGTTAGACTGAGAGGGCTTGGTCATCTTAAGAGATTCCAAGCTACTGTCGGATCTTCCGCAGTCTAATTAAAAGTAAATCAACCCAGGAAAATACAATTGAAACCTAACTAAGGAGCTAGGGGGACTCATTCCCGAGTGACTCTTACCTGCTTGAGAAAACCGTATCAATTCCTGCTTTCTTTCTGCTTTTGCTTTTACACAACAAACACTTAACTTAGTTGGCTAGATAATAGAGAATCACTGAGTAAGCAGTAGATCTAGACCCCGGGTTGATAATATAACTTGTCACTTTACTGCATTCCCGGTCTGCGATTGCACTTGGTCGCAGATTGGTGTTGTGTTTTGGCGTACCAACAACCTTCCTTTGGATTAGCCACAGTATTACCCGATAGGGTTCCTTGAATTCTCAATGATAGAGTTTGAGCCAACGAGCTTAGTTGGGCTTCAAAATTTTGAAGTGGAGCTTGTTGATTCGTTTGCCCCACTTCCAAACTTGAGAATTTGGTTAAGGTAGTCTCAATGAACTTGTCAATAGCTTCAAACTTCTTGTTGGAGTGTGCAACAAATTGTCTCAACAAATCTTCAAGTTTAGAGACTCAACCTTCGGAGAGTCGACTTTGTTCTTGATATTCTCTTTGATATGATAGTTGGCTTGGTCTTTGATAAGTATTTTACGATGAGCTTGAGATTGAAAACCCGGAGGTTTCCTATCCGTTGGAGAAGACCAAAGAAAATTAGGGTGATTCCTCCAACCCGGATTAAATGTTGAGCTATAAGGGTTGTTACCTCAAGATTAACCTCCAATAAAGTTGGATTGCTCAAATTGAAGTGAAGCCTCAATCATAGACTTACACTCTTCTATGGTATGACTAAAGTCGCCACACCAATCACATTTCATGAGTTGTTTCCCATTGCCTTTCATCTTTGATGCAACTTTTGATCAATTTTCTTGGAGAGTTCTTGAATATGGGCAGATAATGATGAAGGTTCTTTGACGTTCATTAAACTCCCCTTTAATAAGCTTTTCCTCTTCTTCTGTCACCCCAATCATAGGTATTGAGGCCATTTCTTTGATCAATTGTTGAAGTTTCCTGACTTCTTTGTTCCTAATGGCACCTCCACTAGCCGCATCAATAAGGTTCGTGACTTTTTCATCAACCCATTATAAAAACTTTCCACTTGTAACCAATCAGCAATGCCATGATGAGGAAACTTAAGTAAGAGAGATGTAAATCTTTCCCGGCATCAAACAATGGTTCATTCGCTTATTGACGGAACATAGTGATCTCACTTCACATCAAAGCCATCTTGGAAGGTGGAATGTACCTTGCGAAGAACTTGTTGCAAAGATCATCCCGTGAGGTGATAGAGTGATGTGGTTGATTGTTCAACCATTTCTTTGTCGTGCCACTTAAGGTAAACGAAAATAATCTTAATCGAATAGCCTCTTGAGGGACTCCATTCATTCTGATTCCATTCGTCAATTCGTGCCCGACTTTATCATCCCATTGAATTGAACTGCACTTTGAAGCATTGAATCGTGCCCAAATTTATCTCGTAATCATTATTGGGCAATGTTGATGAAGAATAGGTGATTGCACATTATCCACACTTGGCCTTGAATAAGAACATGTTGTTCTTGGCCTAGGTGGAACTTGAGCTTGTTTATTCGCCATTGGTGGAGGTTGAGGTCTTGCAACTCTTCTTAGATTTCGAAGTGTTCTCTCGATTTCTGTATCAAGAGGTAAGATTTCCAACGAATTCCTTCTTCGCATACAAAGGTGCTACAAAACACAACCTCAAGAACCTGTGACGTACGAAGTTGGATAACAAAACAAACAACGAAAAACACACTAAAGCAACAAAACACAAAGCAAAACGTAACAAACACATAAATAACAAAAACACGAAACAAACAAACAAACAAATAAAACAAGGCAAAGACTAACTAGCAACTTAATGGTTTTCTACTAGTTACCAAGGTTCCCCAGCAACGGCACCAAAAAGCTTGATCACTTCGATATGTGCATATTATTGTCAATGGTTAGCACACGTCAACAACTACTCTATCTTAAGCCAAGTTTAACCTAAGACGGCATAGTCGTTTAGTGGTAATCAATGTCGTATTTTACTCAGGTCCCGGTACCCTATCCTACTTCCCACCTAGTTACTAATTAGTTAATCGGTTTTGAGGGTTGAATGGAGGATTTGAGGAGATAAACTTTGATTGTTCAAAGCTAAAAACAGGTAATTTGAGGAACTAATCCTCCCCATAGCTTAGGGTTACTATGCATGTAAGATACTTAGGGCTATCGAGGATTTAAGTGAGCTCTTTTCCGTGGCATTTTGTGGTTATCCACACGCCTCCGGTTACACCTCCCCTAAACCCATATATAGTCACCTAGATCTAGGCTATTGTATCTGGGGCATTAAGCATATGGCTCATTTAAATGGACACTATCCACCATCCACACCGAGGTTTTATCCCGAGTTCTATCTAGGAAGGCTAACCTACGGCAGGGGTTCGGTCTCCTCGACCACCCTAGGTCCCTATTCATATATATATATATATTGTGTTTTGATTCATGGCGCATACCCGTCTAATCCTAGAACTTCATACCTAGCGTGGAAGCATAAAGTAGACTAATAGAGAAGATTGGGGCGTCCTACCACAATCAAAATCCATGATAGAATAGCAATAAATCAACTAGATAAACACATTCATTCATTCAAACCCTAAAATATCCATACATACATACATACATACATACATACATACATACATACATACATACATACATACATACATACATACATACATACATACATACATGCATGCATAAACCCTAAAACTAGGGTTTGGGTTCTTAGAACCCCTAGTATCTTGGAGGACTACTCCATAAAGGAGAGAAGAAGAAACATAGAAGAAATTGAAGAAGTCTTGGGTTGAGGAAGATGCTCCCTCTCTTTTAGCTCTTTCTCCTTCCTTCAGCTTCTCCCTCTTCTCTCTCTCTAAAACCTGAAATTTCTCTCAAAATTCGCTCTATAAAAGGGGTAAAGGGGTCTTCTATTTATAGGCCTTCTCAGGGCAGATAAGTTCGCGGCCAAGGGCGATGAGATCGCGGGCGAGATCTTCTGAGGAGAGGCCGTGATCTCAAGACGATGTTATCATGGCCTTCTTAAAGGGGAAGATTGCGGGCTGACTTCGCAGTCGCGATCCACTTGTTGCGGTCGCGATGTTCTTCGCGGGCAAAATGCGCTTTGGTCATGACTTGAATGAGGAAACTCTCTACTTCTCCCTGGCTCCCTCCTCGCGAAGTTCGCGCCCTTAGCCCTCCAATTTGAGGTTGCGATCTTTAGCTAGACTTCGTGGGCTGTGTTCCCGGCTGTGATCTTCAGCTCCAGGCCACTATCTTTAGCTTCATGCCCCCTTGCTACACTTGTGACCTTGATTTGTACCTAATTCGCATGTATCGTCTAATACACCCTAAAATCCCATCGAATTCAAATAGAAACAAAATAGGGATGCAATGTTTAATCATTTATGCACATGAATTAGCACAAAACAAACCTTAATATGAAGGGTAAATAACACCAATTTAGGTGTTATCATGCATCAACTACTAGGTTTTCATAACCTCGAATTCTGGATCAACTCCTCACATAAACCTTATCAGGTAATCTTTTTCTTGTTTCATAACAAAAGCCTCTACTGCTGCATAGGGGATAGTAGATCTAGGTGCACAAGCATAGGGCACTGTGGGGCATCATTCAACATATTCATCCCAAATTCCTTTTATCGTTGTGTAATATTGATTATAGTCCTAGAACCTTGTTTGCGGGCCTGAATTTCATCTTCCAAATTAGCTATTCTCATGGAATTTGGCTGTCCAAATCGCCGCTTCAACTCATCCCACAAGGTCCTAGAATTGTTATGGTTTAAAACGACCCTTCTCGGTTCCTTAGTCATAGAGTTTTGAATCCAACATAAGACACCGGTATTACAAGCACCCCATAAACCAAATAGATCATAACCCAGAGCAGGCACATGGATAGATCCATCTAGAAAACTAAGCTTGTTCTTTGTTTTTAACACTACTTGCATGCATCTTGCCCACATAGTATAATTTGTCCCATCGGACAACTCAACAACCAAAGATTAAGCTATATTCTCGTTGGGATTTAGGTAATAAGGCTTACCAAAAGAGAGAAAGGAGACTATTGTGGTTGTTTTAAGGACCCAAATTGGAAACGACCATTGTTGTTGTTGACTCCTGTTGTTGCATTGCTGCTGGTGTTGGATCGCTCGTTCCGCCTGGTGGCGGTGTGGCTTGTTCATCAGCCATTCTTTAACACGCAATCGAAACCCTAGGTCTCAAAATGCTCTGATACCATGACAACTTTTGTAAAAGATTGATTTTGGAGAGGAAAACTCCGCAGAAAACAGAGTCCTCCGTAGCTTTTATAGCTACAATGATAATTAATGAACTGATCCAAGTGTTCTTACATGATAGGCTATTAATTTAAATAATCAGTGCAAATAAACGGCTAAGTAAATAAAATAAACGCTATTGTTTCTATTTTAATTCTTCAAACATTTTTCTTCTTCAAAACATTGTCGTGCTTCCAATCCATGATGCATCAGTATTGTATATTCCTGTAGCTCAACTCTGTCAACCGGAGAAATGTAAGAACTTTCCCAACAACTAACGTCCCATCGTAGCGGAAAAGCTCTATCCCGTAGTTCTTAAACTCCACGAGAACAGCAAAGCCAGAGGCAAAGGAGCTCTTCCCCGCAGCTAATTTCAGCATGAGGTTGAGGCTCAAATCTCCAACCCATTTCTTCAAATCAATTTATGGATCACGCTTGATTTGTTTGTAGAGATCGTTATTCGATTTATGGACTTCAGATTCTCTGGATTGCTAGAGAAGCTCCAAGTGATGGGTGGAGAGAAGTTCGAGTATCAATATTTTCCTTGTTTCCTGTCAGTAATCCCGTGTGGCGACATCCCAAATACTGCAAAATTGTAGGAGAAGACCTTGGTGGCGGTTATTGTAACACCCTACCCTATACGTTTTGCCTAATCATATTGTTCATACAATTGCAGCGGAATTAATCTCGGGTGTTACATTAATTATCAAAATTTACCTAAATAAAATTTCGACATAAATTACTCGCGTAATGGGCTAACAGTTCTTGCAACTTATCCTGCAAAATAATTCATCACAACATATATACTCACAACCATAAGCATTGGCTTTCATAGCCATAGTCACAGTTTCATACTACACAACTGCATACTATACTGATACAAGCCATAATCGTCACAACTTACATAATTACAAAAATATACACATATCATCAACTTTCCACACCTGTGGATATCTCACTCTACATCAGAAGCTAGTATGCACATGAAAAACATTCTCAAAACATTTTTACAAAAAGGTGTGGATCACTGGCCAAAATCCCGAGTAGTAGTCCAAGCACAGAATAGTTGAAGACCATACCTCATCCTGGCTTCAACTCTAGCTCCT